CACGTTCGCTAGATTCTATAGCCTTCGTGTGGAGCCGGTATCCTCCTGTGTTCTCACCGCAAAGGGGTAGAGGCACTAAGAGGCCCCGGTTAGTGTCGGCTTGCTAAAACTGCTCCAGAGTGTCCGTACTGTAGGCCCTGTCGAGCTCCTCCGTCCCCTCGGCAGCCAGATGTGGCGAAACGTCTGGTGCCAGGCCCTCACTCAATGAATCCGTGAGAACAGGTAGATGGCTGGGTTCCATATGTAGAGGCCTAAGTGGTTCTCATATGTGTAAAGTCCACGGTATAGCCTCAGAGCCCGTGTTTCCCCGGCAGACTTCTGCCATTTCCATGAGGGTTACAATAACCTCTAATCTTCCATATGCACCTAAACGGAAAGTGCCAATGTGCATTGGCTCATTTAGTTTACACTCGAAGTGGATTGGTCTCTCTAAGCGAGATCCCAATTCGTCGGTCACCGACGTGACGTCTCCGTTCCCTCCTTCAGGGAACGAGGGTTACATACGTAACCGAGACGTTTCAGTCTCTTTCAATATAAAAGTCTTTACCGCTGACTCTTAAAACAGTCTCTTGTTGCCATCTAATGGCGGAACAATGTCACTAAAATCACCATCACGAACACACAGACTGTTTCCCAATACTAAATACTACTATTATGTATATTATAAAATATTATTTATTTAATAATAAACAACAACAACAACAGCCATCATAAAAGTTTCTAGACAATTCAGTCAAAAGTACAAAGGTAGCGCTCTGATATTACAGCATTGAAGTTACATAAAATATAACGTGATGAGATTTTGCCCTCTGCCAAAACTGCTCTGGTACAAAAATTAGATTAACAAGACCAAAGACTGCAGGTTAGATTTACCCAAAACAAATTATATCTCATGTTTAACCATTATAGAGACATCAGAGCAGGCGGCAAATTCCAGAAGATCTGGCCGAGGTGAGGCTTCTCTCAGTGGGTTCATGAGTGCTGAATGGCCGCTGACGCCCTGGAGCTCATATCTACGAAAACGCAGAAGCAAATTTTCATGACACTCGCTATGAGAAATAAGGGACGCGACAAGCGGAGTGATACAAACAGCGAAACGGTTGGAGGAGTTCTGTTATCACTCTAATATTGCACTCTTATCAGCCAATCAGATTTGAGGACCAGAAAGAACTGTTGTATAATATAATATAATATAATATATTATAAAATAAATGTTTAATTCAGCAAGCATACAATAAAAACTGAACAAAAGTGACAGTAACGATTTTTATTAAAAAAATATATATTCAAAAAATTTATAGATTTTGAAATGATAGATTCAAGAAATGATAGATTATTTTTCCTTTTGAACTTTTTATTCATCAAAGTAAATCAGATAAAAATAAATCTGATAATTATAAAACAATGTTTATTGGGGACCAAATTAGCATATTAGAATCATTTCTAAAGGATAATATGGCTCAAGTAAAAAAATATAGATGTGAATCATTACCCTAATTTTTTTTAATTGGATGAAGGAAACGTTTTTTTCAGAGTAGTTATTTTAATTTTATTTTAATTTTTAATTAAAATATATCACAGTATTACTGTTTATACAGTATTTTTGTTCACATAAATGCAGCATTAGTGAGGATAAGAGACTTATTTCTAAAAAAACAAATAAGGCACTTCTATATAATAAATAAATAAATAAATAAATAAACATTTAAAAATGTATAATTTTTGCATCATTTACATAAATAATTTGGCTCTCTATATGCTCTCTATTTTAAATATTAAACTATACCCTGAATAGTCATCTTTGGAAGGGTGAGCTGATAATAATCCCATGAATAGGCTAACACATATGTGAGCACTCATGTGGAGTGACCCCATGAGCTGCTGCAGTCGCTTCCCATCATCCCGGCTCTGCAGATCCAGGCAGGGGTGATCTCCAGCAGTGGAGTACCGTGAAATAGCATTATGGTTAATTTTCTCGTTTGCTGCTGCTCATGAACCAGTAAGGCACCAACAGCCATCTCTCCAGATCTGCTCACAAGCTCAGCTGAGAAACATGAGCCGCCTCTCCTCACTTTCACTCGCTTCCTGCAAATAAACTGAACATTCAAGGCCTGAACACAGTGATATGCTTGATTTTGAGACTGGGGAGTTGTTGTTTTAACCCTTTGCTTTGACCCAAGTTCTACAAAACCACAAAACCAACCAAATGAATCATTAGACGAGTCTAAACCAAACCACATGTGTTTTTGCAAAATGAATAAATGCGTTACATTCTAAAAAGAAAAAAAATAAAGATATCAGCTACTGAGACAAATGAGTAGTGAGTGCAAAGGTCATTGACAGACTTGTAGGTTCTCATCAGCTGAAGGTGAAAACGCTTTGTCTTGTTTCTCATTTTGTTGCCAAAGGGCTCAGTGAAGTATGTGAGTAATGACACTGAATTTAGAACAACGGAGATTAGTTTTAAGAACATTGCTTTTCATGGTACCGCCGCTCACAGGGACAGCAGGTTATGACTACACCTCAAATGTTTTAAAAAATACATGGCATCAGTGTTCAAGGGATTTGAAGTTGACATGGATGGCCGCTTCGAGAGCAACATAATTAACTAAATGCCGAAGATTACAGATCGCTCTAATCATAACTTTGTGCACGCTGACCCTGGGTTAGCACTTCATGATAATGAAAAGATCATCCATGCTGGGTCAAGCACTTCAGAAACAAAAAAGACAATTTCCAACCCTGCCGAAAGCCCCTTTCACGCATCAAGGCATTTGCAAGTGACATTTGCTCAGAATAAATGACTTTTGATGGAGCAGAATCAGACGATTGCTTGTTAAATCTGTTGTAGTTCTGACAAGAGCTGATAAAAAATGAAAAAACAACTGTCAGTTCATTAGGCATGTGATGGCCAAGGCACTGAAATAGTTGCACATAACTATCCTGAAATTTTAAGCAAACCAGAGGTGACAAATGAGTGTGAGCCATTCCAATGTGTAGGATTTTCTAATGTACGGAAAATAAAATTGGCGTCCTGTGGCTTTCAGTCCATCTCTATTAGCTTTGATGCCAAATACACTGAATTTAAATGTTCTCAAAATTCAGATATTTGCATTTAAAATCACAGCCTTTCTCAATTGCTCTCCGGGCGCCGCAGTGAAAAAAAATGGCTGCCCACTGTTCCGTGTGTGTGTGTGTGTGTGTGTGTATTTGGATGAGTGAAATGCAGAGCACAAATTCTGAGTATGGGCTACCATACTTGGCTACACATGATATCAAAGATGAATTTTCAGCATCATTACTCCAGTCTTCAGTGTCACATGATCCTTCAGAAATCATTCTAATATGCTGATTTGCTGCTCAAGAAACATTTCTGATTATTATCAGTGTTGAAAACAGTTGTGCTGCTTAATATTTTTGTGGAGAATATGATATTGTTTTCAGGATTATTTGTTGAATTCAAAAGAACATAATTGAATTGATATTTAAAGATTCTGTAACATTATACATGCCTTTATTGTCTAACTTAATGCAAAACTTCTGAAAGAAAGAAAGAAAAAAAGACCTTACTGACCTCAATCATTTGAAATTATAATTTATACAACTATACAATGTATACTACTATGTAGTTTAAGTGTCCAAATGCATTTGTGTCTGTAAATGTTTTAGTATAAAATCCCAGTGCTTTTTTAAATATCAAAAGAGAAGGCATTCATTTGATGTGTTGATGCAAGAATTTCATAACAAAATAAAAATGAAATTCTGTATAATTAAGTATATAGACAACCTCAGGCACAGTTGCTTTTTTTTTTTACAAGTGCAACTTGTGACTCTTAAGAGAGTAGGTCAAGGTCACTGAGCTAAGCTTAAATATAAAGTGAATGTAGATTAGAGTTTACGACAGGCTCCTGTTAGTTTCTCTGTTGCTTAGACACTTTGGCAGCGGGGTTAAGGGGATTAGGCAAAGACTGTTAATGAGGACAGTTGTCCTTTGCTCCAATTATTGTCCAGTAACAAAGCAACATGTGCTTTAGACAGCCACGTCCGAACGAGGCTACAAGACCATCACAGAGAAGTTCAATAATGACTTTTCACCTTGAACTACATTTATGGAGTTGAGACACAGCTCCCAAAATTAGACCCCTATGTATTGATAAGCCACATCACACGTATGTACGCCTGCGAAACTGTTTCTATGGTTTCTGCATGATGTGTCTGATTACGTATTGATTCGGGTGGTGGG